GAGAGAAAATTAGTGAATCACACTGTATAATTAAGCTAACCAAGAAAAAACAACTTTTATTTCTAAAAAACAATATAGACTTCCTGTCTAACAGGCTACTTATAGTAACACAGTATACATTTCAGACCAATTTTATAATTTATAAAGTTTGATAAGTCATTTTAAATAAATAATAAATAGTAATAATAGAAATAATAAATGTAATAGTTTAAGACACATAAAATAATCTGGTAAATAGTATAAAATATGTAGAAATATTCAATTGTTTAATACATTATATATTAATCAGTGAATTGACATTGATTAAAATACACATTTTTTTTATGATACTTAGCATTGTTTAATTATTAGTTTAAACGCGTACAAAATAAACACCTATATCATATATTATTATGTAAATGTTGCAATCGTTTAAACGACCACGTATACTATAGATTATAATACATTCACACGATTGATATTACAACAATATTGTTACCGATCCAGATGGTATTGATAATTTTTTTTTTAATAAGTTTTTATTTGGTTAGGTTTAAGTCATAGCTCATATGTATTGTAAGTATGCCCAAGGTATGAAGACATCCAGGGGTTTGAAATTCATATTCATTCTCTGGTTTATTTACTTCCGCGCATTTCGTGTAAAAATAAAAACCTAGTCTCATAAACTTGATTTTCATTTTTTCTTTAAACGTACCAGATGGCATTTATTGTCGGCGTTCACATGGAATTATTTTAGCAATACAGATATTAATTTTTTATAAGCAAACATGTCGACTATTGCATTGGCCACAAATCATAATTTGAAATTCATGTAGATTGTACTTGATGGCAATATCACTATATAGGCAGACCTATACCTACAGGTAAGACATCACATCCGACTTGTATCCGACTAATCAAACTTAGTTTCTATCCCAAATCATTTAAGTAGGTAAGTATTACCGTATTACACATTTTTCACTAAGCATTCTTTTTATTGTTGTATGAACTATTATTACTATAATTATTACCATTATTATTACTGTAATTTATTAAATTTTCTAAAAAATTAAAGCCATTAGCCAACTCATTAACTAGCAACGGTCTAGATGTAGTTTAAGACGAAAATACTGTTTCACTGTCAGACTAATAAACACACATTTTAAATAAAAACATTTTTTTCTAGGGTTGGACAACCATTTTATCAATTAAAAAAAAATTATAATTTAAGGTTAGGAAATCACCGTGGTGCAAAATATTAAATTATTTAGTATTATTTTTTTATTCCTCAAGGATCATTTTATAACCGTTCAATAAATAAGTAATCAATTGGCAACTGTACATATAATATATTTTACATATATATATATATATATATATATATATATATGTATAATTTATTTTTTTATACTTTTAAGATAATAATGAATCTTTTATGCGTTTGCAAATTTTGTAAATAGTTAACCTTTTTATAGGAGGCTACGGGCAGAAATTACTCATTACAAGTCGGTACCTAATGTTTTTTCCATAAAATATACTTTACAGTTTATAAATACATTTTACCGTTTTAACAATTTTTTTTTTGTTATTTTTATTACAGACAACCTGTTAGGCTTTGTCGAAATACCAAGTAAAATATTAATGAATTATATTAAAATGAGAAAATATCGCCTTCATTCATATATTTTTTTTCATCCGAGGAAAACCAATGTATTTAATACATTTTAACATCTACAGATTAGCATTGCATTATTATTTTATTAGCATAATCAGGAACATACCATATATTTTTTAGGTTTCTTCAGAAAGTCGAAAAATTCTTCAAGAACAACCTATACAATTCGATAAAATAAACATAAGTCTTAATCGATCCGATATGATTCCCATTTGGATAACCCTTGGGAAAGTCATACAGAATTCAAAATTTAAGTTTAACGCTTCGTGGCGAATTATTATAAGTTTTCAAAAAAATTATAAAATTTATTAAAATTGGTAGCTATAAATGACAATCAGTTCAAACAGTAAATAACAACATGTTATATTTTTAACAACTTTTATTAATATGATTTAGTTGCACATTATTTAATAGCTATACACACATGTGAAATTATCATTTAATTTTACAGTTTAAATTTAATAAAGAACCAAAAGCTTAACAGAAAAAATTATAAAACATCGTTGTTTTGTAACAATATGCAAATTAATTATTGACACTTATTTTCCAAAAAGAATCAAACAAACTGCTACACACATTTGCAGTACAGGTTTAATTATTTTTTTTAAATGACATTTTTAATTGTTACATGATAAAATGTTTAGGTAGAAATCCTGTACTATGTGTTTTAATTGAGAAGCCTTATAAAATGAAGGCGGTGATAAAAAAACATCCCTCCGAAGTAGGAGAATGGTTAAAACAATTATTTTTAATTTAATTCAGTACCCTACAATTTGACCTATTTTGATGTTTTGTAATACAAATGTTAGGAGATATTATTTTCGATCGATTGCTTTGGTTACTAGTCCACTGTATAATTCTACAGTTTGGATTTTATAACCACTAAAACACAACCTTAGGATTTATATTTTGTAAAGCATAAAGGTTGCTTTTCCAAATTAGGTTAATTTAAATTTATAATTTGTGTTGGACTTTTTTCACGGCAATAGGATGTTGTTACATACACATATTAAATACTTGTTTTGTAAATAAATAATCAGTGTTAAATATTGTATTTGTAGAACATTACACTTCTTATAAAGTTAACCCTAAAAACTTTATGATACCAACAGACATATTGTCAATTATGTATAGTGCAATATTTGTTATATAAATATTCAACAGCTTATAAACATATCGTTGTACAATATAGATAACTTTATTATAATTAAAAATACTGTTTGTAGACATATAAGTTATAACTACTGATACCTACGAATATGTGTTAGTCAGGTTCGTTATTTGTAATACAATTTTTTGAAATATGTAGTAAAAACATTTTTTTACAAATTCTTTACAGTTCTTTGCTATACAGCTGTTTTGGTGAAATGATAGATAGTGTTGTAATAAATACATTGTAAATATATTAAAGATCAAAATCTACACTTAAAAACAAATATCTAAATTCATTTGGTTTTTCAGATAGTCGGGTTCCTAAACTTCGGGAGAATTAATAATAAATATAAATCTGTAACTAGTCTTCATTGTTTGTTATCTATTTAAGAAAATGAAATGTTCCAATTGTATAAAGCAATAATTATAAATGTTCATTTAGGAAAATTTAACAAAGTTTAATGTTCAAAAAAAGTATTTGCTATAATTTTTTGTAATATGTTAACAAAAAACACAAAACAAAAAATACAAAATATTATAAAATGTAAATAGTTGAAGTGTTGATTTTTGAACCAATTGTACAGTTGTAAGAACAGTGTAACCCAGAAAAATACTGCATATTTACTTATGTGAAATAAAATAACATTATACTTTTTTATATGCTGTACATCACACAAAAACCAAAACAATATAACAAACGATAAAATATTATTAAATCTTCATATAATAATATTTTACGTTTGAATAAATTTAAATAAATTCCATGTACTATACTATGCTGTTGCATATTCGAGGGATGTGAAAAGCCCTCTTTTATAATAATATTCAGAGGTTGTGCCAATTATAATTTAATGTCCGCAGTTGGGTTTACCTTAAACTTGAGGGTCAAGATACGAAGTCCTGAAATACGTTTAGTTTATACCTGTTTGGTGGATTTTAAAATCTATACCAGTTAATACCTTTATTGTACATATTAATTACTATAGATTGAAATACCAATGTAAATTATTGAAGGTATTGTAGAAAATTGCCAAACATAATAAACTGTTTTGATATAAAATATTCTCCTTGGGCTTTTATAACTAGCGCCTCTTCTGTCCGGACAACACATTTTATTAAAAATATTATTTTGCTACGTATACTTAGAACTTATAAATTAATTTCATATCCTTGTGCTTAAGATGTTTTTTTTTTTACATATGGAATTGACGACTTTTTTTTAATGGGCTCAAATATTATTATAAGTATTTCAAACAGTAAGACCTTTTTTTTAAAAAATTATTTTATATTCCTTTAATCAAATGTGGTATATTGGTGTGGACTAAAAAATATCACTAAAATCGAAAACATATTACCTATACATATTTGAAGGTAAACATTTTAACACGGTTACAGTTTTCGAAAAGTTGAAATTATAACCTATATTTTTATTTTATTTTATTATAAAAGCATATTCTATTTTACTCGTACATTCTAAATATACTCTATCATGATTTGTTTAAAAAAAACCCAAGAAAATAGAATTTATACCTTCACCGTTGAAGAAGTAGATACTCTATTTATTACTATACTTTTTTAGTAGGGCAAAACTGGAAATAAGACCAATATTATTTTGTGTTGTATCTTGACCCCCTACCCCAAAAGGGATGGCATTTTTATTGTTAAGTATAGTTTTTGGCATTTTGCTCCGAACCCACCCTACTGGCATTTTTTTATATTCATTTAACTCCTTTTGGGAATATTGTGTTGATCTATCATCGTTATTATTGTGTTTAGTAATTGTAAAATGTATTGTCTACCACAGAAACCTGTTCAACACATATTTTAAGTTGTGTTATTTATTCGTCTCGTGATGTTAAAACTCTTTATTAAAATACGAGAAAATATACTTTGATATTGTGAAGTTTAGTGTACATGTTTAAACAGTCACCTATTGCATACACAAATGCTTGCACGAAGTAAGCATTCAAAAACAAAAACAATATAATTATAATTGATTTTATTACTATGTCAATTAATTCTCACAAGCGATTCGTAGTTATTATGCATAAATTCATATCTAATAATATTACCAATATAACATCAGTTAAGTTAAATTATTTTATGTCTCTATTGTTGAAAAGATATCAAAGATTTTGGTTTTTTTAAAGCCCATTACTTTAAACGTAAAAAAAATTAAAAGCATGTAAGATATTCTATACAAATCTAAATGATTTGGTTACTAGATTGAATCGACTGAAAACGGTTGTTTTAAAAATATTTTCAAAATTATATTGTTATATACCTTGGCAATGATTTTATATAATTTTATGATTCAAGATCGAATGATCTATTAAACTGATTAAAAAAAAAAATACAATACGATACAGTTATTTTAAATACATGATATCTAGAAACAATAAAAAAAATACACTCAAGCATGTTTGGGTTTTTATTTTAACTTTTCTTTGAAATTCGCATCACACACGTACACGGATGTGGCCCGGCATCTCTGACAGGATATTTAACGTCACTCTGCACTCAATTAGTAAATTCTGAAATAGGAAGATGATTTATGAAAATAACTTTGACGGCATTTAAAAAACTGAGCATAAATCGCTTTACATACATTGTTCAAGCAAAAGAATACGTATTTCTTTAAAGTTCTGAGGTCGGCAGAAACTGGAACATCAGCATGTTGAACAATTCGCTGACACGATTCGTCATTGACTCAAGTACGGTTGATTTAAGATCCTCATCAACGGGCTTTGTTGTCGTCTAATATTTCATAAATACATTATATATTAGAAAATCGGTAGACAATATTGTAAACAATTTGACGACGGCCTATGATGTAATCAAGTGCTTACCCTGAGCCTTTGTTTGACAACATCTAATAGTCGATTTTCATTTTTGATGTGATTTATGAGTACAACTTCTCTGATTGAACCACGGACAACCTGGCTCACCATTAATTTACGTTGTCTGATTAACCGTCTAGAAAATACGCTCGAGTTATAATGGAAATAAAATAGTAAGTATAAAAAAAAACTTACTGCAAACCTTCCCGATTTATTATTTTTAATTCGATCAAAAATTGGCTCTCAATATCTTCTGCTTGATTTTCGGATTGTGACATAGTGGTTTATTGATTCCTTCGACCTTGAAATATATCATAAAGAGTTAATTAGTAAGTGCATATATCACAAACTGCAGGATGCTAATTGGGGGTGACCGAGTGATAATACGTGCAGGGGTGCTAACCTCTATTTTCCTTTGCCCTAATAGGCCGTCAATATTTCACAAATGCACCGACGCGAGTGCTATCTTGTAGGCACTTAACCTTAACACATATACTTATTGTGCTGTAAATTGTACAGATTGTATTTGATCTCAATAAAAATTTAAAAAATAATGACAGCAGGTAGCGATAATTCTAGATACGCATAGTGTCAAGTTCCCAATAATTTTTCAAGATAGCAGTCTAAATAGTTTGGCGAGAGTACTTTAAATACGAATACGAATATGTTTATTTTTGGTTGCTAACCCAAAATGAACAATTGGCTTATAACCATGGTATCCAAAGTAACCATAGTAACCGTTTGATTCGCATACTCTAAATTCTAAGCATAGTTCCTACCAGGGGGTCCCGTGATCCACAGAGCTTTATTTTTTTCAAAAACAATTTTTCTTATATCTACATAACGATAGTAGCAATTTATAAGCCTAGTTTTTATCATTGATACAGATGTCAAAACGAAACTATTAACAATAACTTTTGGCTAATCTCATAAGAAAGCCAAGAAAATGTCCGTATCTTTCACGAAACACAGGCGACTTTGTGAAATATTCACTGAACTCAATATGAATAAACGCGCATTATCTTTTGTCGGCTGTTTATAAAAACGTCCACTATTCGGAGGCTGTTAAATTTTAATACTCATCATGGAAAAGTTACGTAGCATTTATACTTCCCGAAAAATGGTAAACAACATGGCGGCGTACCATGACGGGTCATATTACAGCACGTATGCGCATTCTATATGTTATGTTGAGTTCAGTGTGAAAAATACGGCAAACATTGTCAACAAGCAACGAAAATACAAATGAAGACAAGTGAACTCCATTGGGATACACCGGACTATGCTGTAAACGCATTTGATTTAAATACAAATATATTAGGGTGGTCCCGCAAAACTTTTTTCCTACTCCTTAGTTTACACAGCTTAGAGCCTTTCGAACACCTACTGTACACCATGCCCAAAAGTCCTGTCAAAACTGGTAGTGAAAAATAGGCGTTTTTGGTATTATAAATACAAAGTTATCAGGAAAAAAGTCCGTATAGGTATGAAACTATACTAATACGGTAAAACCGTCAGAACTTCAGCTTAAGCCGAGGAGAAGGCAAAGTACTATGCGTTGATTTGCGCACGGTTTGAGTGTCGAAATCCTATAATAAATTCCCATTTTAACTACAACCCTTGTGAGGCTCGAGTTTAACATCGAAAATCAACTTTTTAAAGACCACTCTAATATATTATATTTATTTATATGTATATGATTTATTGTGGTTTATAATTAATAATAAAATATTACCCAATTGTACGTTACGCGTTTGTGTGTGAAATCCGTTTGACTGGCGTAGTCTGAACAAAGACGTGGATGGTTTTTTTTTTTAACAGAGAATGAATTGAAAACAGCCGCTCGACGTACAACTACACAGTCCTGCTAGCTGACGCCCTACTGTTCGATCGGCATACAATCGAGTAGACAATGGCCCGGGTTATCGCAGATGGCGCAACTGCTGTCGACGACCCCTTGAAAAAGAACTCGCTAGGGGTGCCGTTCTAAATCAATACGGCTTGTGGAGAGTGAATGTTGCGGGCATACCGCGAAATTACATTAGTCGTTGACGTCATCACAGGGAACTGGACGACAACTTTCTTTGCGAAATCATTACATGTCAAGTTACATGAAAGACAAGAATGTATTGTGACTGTCATCAGAATATGATTTATTTGAATCCTTTTTCTATAAGTTTTTTTCACTTAGGCATTCCGGTTTACAATTAGTATATTTCATTTTTACTGGTGTTAACACCTTTTGTCGTTTAACCTTGGCTTAATCAAATATTCGCAAAACCCATGTGGTATACTACCGTAATTTGTCTTTTACTTTTCGATATAAGTATTCGGTGCAAATCTGTGGATAGTATGTTCAAACCAGTTATACGATAAGGGTTAATCGTCTGTCTATAAAAATGTACAGTCATAGTTACCCATACATCGTAATTAACAATTTAATGAAAATATTTTCATCACCTGTTGACTGTAGTACATTGCTAGACAGTTATTCTGATGTAGTGATATATAGTGTTGTAAAATATATATTATACATATATTAAAGAATAAAATCTATAGAAACTTTAAAACAAAGATGTAAATTCAATTGGTTTTTTAGGTAGTCGGGTAAATTCATAAGAAATACAAATCTTCTTTGTTTGTTATTTATTTAAAATAATAAAACGTTCGAATTGTATTAAGTAATAATTATAGATGTTCATTTAGGATAATCTAACAAAGTTAATGTACAAAAAAAGTTTTTGCTGTCATTTTTGTAATACGTTGGTAGGGCTCTACCGTGCAAAAAAAAATATTCGGCAATTATTTATAATTACAAACAAGAAATAGAAAATACTATAAAACAAAATTTATTTAGAGTTCCTTTTGACCCAGTTTATTTACTCTTGTGAAACAAAAGAACAATATATTTAAAAAAATACTAATTTTAGCTTCGATGCGGAGCTAAGAAGGTATTGTTTTTACAATGATGTGGTTTTATTTTTTTATTTTTGTGGCTGGACCCACAAAATCTCGTAAACCGCTGAACCGATTTCTTCGTGTAGCAACTCTTAAGATCAGAAATCATAGCTGGAAGGTACTTTATCAGGCCAAAAATTAAAAAAGTCACCCCATCCCCATCAAAATCGAGAAAAACTCCTAATAAATGTACAAATTTTTCAACTTAAAATGACGATGATATTTAACTTTTTTAAAAATAGTCAAAAATGTTCCAAATTTATATGAATTGTTTTTTAAACATAGTATTATCAATGATCATTAACAAACAAACAAAATATCATAAACCATTTCCCTTTGAAGAGATAGAATTTTTTTCTTTATTTCACTTTTTCAAGCAAAGTTTTAGAGATTTAGATCTGAAAATTAGACCAAAGGTAGATCTAAAATGGAACTATAACATATGCAATTTTCTTAAAAACCTGTTGCCAAATTGTTTTTTATTAAGGAAAAACTCCAAAAATAGGGTTAATTTACACTTTGGCCGTAGTCAGTTTCTAGGTTGCTATGTGTGTGTCAACAGGTAATGAAAATATTTTCATTATATTGTCATCACGATATATGGGTAACTATGACAGTACATTTTTATAGACAGACGATCAACCCTTATCGTATCCACCCTGCACAAGGCTAAATATTGAATTTTAAGTACATTATTGCTGGTCCCACGATATCTTCTAAGCCACTATAACTTGCTTGAACATACTATCCACAGATTCGCATCGAAGCGTTTATTTAAAAGTGATTTTATCACTTTCAGTTATAATAAAATCTGTAGACCTGTGACCTCTCCGTCCCACTATGCCCCGACCCCACTGTACTGGCTTTTTAGTATTTTTTTGCCAATACTTTGTATTCACTTTGGAAATCTATTTGTTTCCGAACAAAACAGCAATATATTTATAAAAACTGTTTTTTGAAAAACATGACCTAAAAGATTGTGATATTAAAATACAAATGAGTCATTTGTTTACATTGCTACGGCATTAAGGCCACAGGTCTATTGCTATAATTTTAATCTACAAAATAAATCTTCCACCAAAAGTTGTAAATCTACCAACGACTCTATAGTAAATTTTTGTCGGTATTGTATTTCTTAATTATTGTGGTTAAAAAAAAAATACTGCACACATTCTTAGATACTGCGGAGTTGGATATTTTATTTCATATTTACCAAAACTGTCTCATTTTGACTTATCCATTAAGATTTAAACCTATGTACATAGGCTATTTAAATGGCTTTGTAGATACTTAATAATTTTTTTTTATAATATAGAGAGATTCATTTAGGATAATGTACTAATATAAATTCCTTATCCTTATAGCCCAGTATTTTGCATTAGTTCAAGATAAAATACTCTGAAACTAATATAACTAAATTAGGTATCTTTTGAGATTGAGGAACACTTAACCTCCTGGATCGTACTCTGTGCTCGTCCTCATTGTGATAGTTATTTAATGTAATTAAAACGATTTTGTTAACGCTATAATTTGCAATATTACCATTGTCATTGGCGTCAATCAGGATAGAGTCAACAGTATCTCCTTCGAAATACTTGGCCACAATATCGTCAAGTTCTTTGTACTTTGTTACTACGTACTTTGTTGTTATTAATTTGGGTAGTGAGACGGAAAGAGTTAATCTTTTAAATGCTAGATATACTTTACCACACGTTTTAAAGGTCAAAGTTTCAAGTGTTAACTCAGGTCTTGTCACAGCGTAAGTTTATTAGTGAACTCATATTAAAAAACATTTATGTTGTTTATTCGATAACGTTAATAGAATTTGTAAATGTATTTTTAGGAATTTGGTGCGAACCGAAAACATTATTTTAAGACCAAAGGCTGCACTCGTCATGACAACGTCTAGAACTAATGAAGATGATGATAATTTTTAAATAACTATAGTTAATAAATTTGCATTATGTTTAAAATATATTAAATTATATAATATAAATGACATATCATTTTTTTTTTTTAATTTCTCGTTTACTTGTACATTTGTTTAAACTATTGAGGTACTTTTTAATGAAATTATTGTTTTTCTCAAATCAGTAATAATAATGAACATTCATAACATTTATGTATAGTATAAGTGAAAAATCGGCAGTACAACTTAATAAAGACGAGTGGCTTACAGGTTTGTTTTGTTCCAGTGGAATTGAGTGCATTTACTTGTACACAATTCGTGTGCGTTCAAGGTATAAAACAAAAGGATGTCAACGGATCTTGTTAATCATAACTGAATTACAAGAGGAACCATATTGATTAAGTGACATTTACTGGTATACCCGTTATTGTATTGGTTAGATAACTGTACACTCATAATGATTTTTGTATAATCATTTTTAATACATTACTGCACAAATAAATATTAACAATTTTATTCATAAAAAATTCTGCGTACCGCTTACTTTCTAAATTGTCAAGATTACACAGTTTACTTACTCATTAGGCACTTAAATCCACAACTGTTCGGTTGTATGGAAATCGGTAAAATTAAATGAAAACAATGTATAAAATCAAATCAATAAGACATAATTATCATTTGACATTTCATGATATTTACTAACACCAATAGCTAGCAATATATACTACTCCATTAAAGGAGCCAAGTATAGGCAACAATTATTACACCAAGCAAACGACTGTGTATAAATCTGTATACAAATCTAATATACAAATAGGGGATGCCCGTCTGGTAAGTCTGACTTACTTACAGAGTGCTTGTATGATTGGTGTGTTTGTGTGCAATAATTATAATAACAATATTATACTCTTTTCCAAACCACCCTTGAGGTAGAGTATAAGGATCATTTTTTTTGCCGTGGTTTCCCCTCTAGAACAGTTTTGCCGATAAACCAAACGTTTCTTTTCCACGTCCGGTGTTTCGCTCAAAACGTCTAAGAAGGCCTAGTCCACGACTGTGAAAATAAATATTTAAATTTATTGTGAATGTTTTTGTTTTATGTTAATATTTTAATTTAATTAATAATGTTATACCTACCTATTGTTGCAGTGTCGACCGTGTTCGATCCGAAGCAGAAATAAAATTATGGCGTATAAAATAATGCAAACCTAACCTAACCTTCCTCTATCGGTCTCTTCCCCCGTTGAGTCCAGTTTAGGGAACTTATCTTTTCTCTCCATGACAGCTAGCTTTTTCTCATCTTCCTGGCCGTTTGTAGGCCACTCTTCACCCTTGCTGTTTGATTGCTGTTTGACGTTAATAAATAAACTTCACTTACCATCTTCAATGGGAACAATCAATTTATTAACTCCAGATATTGTCATGACATCACATTTTCTATTGTTTTCCAGCCTTGACCGTTTAGCCTAATTTTCTTAAACCGAGACACTTAGCTCGCCAAGCTAATTTAAATTTACTTATAAAATTATTATTAGGTAGTATTTTCTAAACTATATATATTTTCTAAATTCCACATTGCCCTTACCTTATATTACACATTTCAATTTTTTACCATCATACACTTTAGTAGTGTTCAGTATAGGTAAGTTGTCTGAACGTTTCGAAAAGTCATGGTTGTTCTTAAATACTTTTTATCAACTTAACAACACTAAATTGCCTTTCGTTAGACGCAGAAGAATCCTGAAGTCTGGGTTATCTGTTGCTGCTATTACATTTTCTTGATCAAGATCATAAACTTCATCAGTTGCTACCTTTGGAAACTAGTTGTTATATTAATAAAAATGCTTTTTGCTTAAACCACAACAACAACAAAAAATTTACTTTTGTCAAGACTGGATTATCTGTTGCTATAACTACTTCTTTTCTTTTTTCCCTAACACTGTTAAACTATTTTTAAGAGTTATATTTTGGTTAATATTATTTGACTTGGTAGTACACC